GACGCGACACGAGCGCGTTTCGTAAAACTTATTACATTTTCAAAGACTTTAGTTTACAAATACACAACTGAATAGAACTTACGCATCTCCGATTTTATATGTACATTTTAGTGAGGTGGATGGGGTGAGGTGGCATTAATAGGGTATTAATTTCATCAACACAAGACAGAACACGAAACAATGGGTATTGAATAGAAGTGTATGTAGAAAGCCTATTGGTCCATATTTCTTGATGCTTCTATATTGGAGCGGAGTCTTGAGGTGGGTAGAATATAGTTGTGCATTAATTGGCTGTTGATTGCTGGTGTTGACTTCTTGATGTGTAGTGCCTCGCAAACGTCAAACCGCCTGCTATCGCTGTATCTATCGATGATTTCTGTGTTGTTTACTAGGATTTCTCTGGCGATGGTTTGGTTGTGGGAAGAGATTATATGTTCCTTAATGGAGCCCTGTTGCTTATGCATCGTTAAACGCCTAGAAAGAGATGTTGTTGTCTTGCCTATATACTGGTTTTTTTGGAGCTTACAGTCCCCAAGAGGGCATTTGAAGGCATAGACGACGTTAGTCTCTTTTAAAGCGTTCTGTTTTGTGTCTGGAGAGTTTCTCATGAGTAGGCTGGCCGTTTTTCTGGTTTTATAGTAAATCGTCAGTTGTATCCTCTGATTTTTGTCTGTAGGGATAACGTTTCTATTAACAATATCTTTCAGGACCCTTTCCTCCGTTTTATGAGCTGTGGAAAAGAAGTTCCTGTAAAATAGTCTAATAGGGGGTATAGGTGTTGTGTTAGTTGTCTCTTCAGAGGTTGCATGGCGTTTCACTTTCCTTCTTATGATGTCTTCGACGAAACCATTGGAGAAGCCGTTGTTGACTAGGACCTGCCTTACCCTACAGAGTTCTTCGTCGACTTGCTTCCATTCTGAGCTGTGGCTGAGAGCACGGTCGACATATGCGTTAACTACACTCCTCTTGTACCTGTCTGGGCAGTCGCTGTTGGCATTTAGGCACATTCCTATGCTCGTTTCCTTAGTGTAGACTGCAGTGTGGAAACCTCCGCTCTTTTCCATGACTGTTACATCTAGAAAGGGCAGCTTCCCATCCTTTTCCATCTCGTAAGTGAAACGCAGCACGGAACTCTGCTCAAATGCCTCCTTCAGCTCCTGCAGATGTCTGACATCAGGTACCTGTGTAAAAATGTCGTCATCATACCTGCAGTATATGGCCGGTTTCAAGTTCATGTCGACTAAGACTTTTTGCTCGATGGTACCCATATAGAAGTTTGCAAACAGGACACCTAGGGGTGAACCCATGGCGACCCCATTTACTTGCTTATACATGTGCCCATCCGGGCTCAAGAAGGGTGCCTCTTTAGTACAAGCTTGGAGTAGTTTCCTCAGAATATTTTCTGGTATGTCAAGAGTATATATATATATATATATATATATATATATATATATATATATATATATATATATATATATGTATATATATATATATATATATATATATATATATATATATATATATATATATATATATATATATATATATATATTCTCTCTCTCTTCCCCCTTCTTTCAAGAAATGTGTTCGTAAGAACCACTGAAAAAACTGTATAGGTCTAATTTTTTTCTTTTATTAACACATTTAGGTACATCATCATTTGTGCAGCTACCCTAGACTATATGAAGGGGAGTACAGTGTGTCAAAAAGCTAGATACGTCAGGCTAAAACACACTTGACTATGAAAGTTCATGAAAATGGCCTATGGGGTGTTTATAACTGATAATAATTCTTAAAAGTATTTAACTTAGGCCTACCCCGACCAGCCTATGTCGTCCCGTACCCCCAGACCATTCCACCTGCAAACTTGGGTGAGGCTTACCCCAAGTGTCTGGCCTCCAGCCTTGGTCAGTCTATCTGACAGACTGAAATGTGTGTTCGAGGCTGGATGCCAGATGGGGAAGAGGGGGAGAGGAAGGGTAGGGAGATGGGGGTAAGGGAGGGAAGGGGGAAGAGAAGAGAGAAAGCTGGGGGGGGGGGGGGGAGAAGGGACGGAAAAGTGGGGAATATGTATAGAAAGAAGGGTGGGAGAGAGAGAGAGAGATACTATCCCCGGGCACCGCCGCATATCCCCCATTCTAGTCCATTTGTGGTTGACAACCAACACATTTACCACTGACAAGACCCACCACATATCACATTTGTCAACACATATAATATGTGGTAACCCGTCAACAGACCGCCCCCCCCCCACCACCACCCCGCACCCTTAACTAGTATTGCTTTCATGCTCCCCCCTCACCCCCCCACCCCACCCCCCCTTCCCCCAGACTCCAAACACTGCAGAAACAACCAACACACACACACACACACACACCATGGTTGAACCAGCCTCCAAAATGAAATAAAAAGCTGATCCAACCTTTAGACAATTTAAAAGATAAGCAAAAAAATAACACTAAAATCATACCGATATGTTGCATTAAATCTGTACATGATGCCCATCGCTGTCAATAGGATTTATGTCTATAAAATTTGATTCACAATATATCAAAATCACGTTGACTGGGTAGTTTTGACAGTCACTAAATTACATAACGAGTCTAGACACGTTACATTTAAAAACAGTATTTTCCAGTTAATTTGAAATACATTGGTATAGATAAAATATTATTTTCGCTTACCTTGGCGGGGAAAACCATGTTGTTCACCTACATAGTTCAACTGGACTTGTTTATGGCATTGAGAAATCGTCTAAGATTACTCATAGAAACCCTGAAGACATTAGCACATACTAGCGCAACACCCGTCACAGTGGTCCAGTCACGGGGCAACACCCGTCACAGTGGTCCCGTCACGGGGCAACACCCGTCACAGTGGTCCCGTCACGGGGCAACACCCGTCACAGTTGTACTGTCACGGGCAACACCCGTCACAGTGGTCCCGTCACGGGCAACATCATCAGCCATCGGAGATTGTTTGACATCAGCTTTTTAACAATTGATCTGCACTTTAAGTGTGTCACTGGCCCTCCACATGGGAGAGGAGGAGTAGGAGGGAGAGTGTGTCACTGTCCTAGACATGGGAGAGGCCAGGAGGCCACCTCCTCCGGCCATGAACTATAAAGTATAACCCCTGGAGAGGAGCTTGGCTCCAGAGGGGTTACTAACAACCACTTGGGGCTGGACGGTAGAGCAACGATCTAATTCGTTTAGTTCACTTATTATGCACCCCATACCCATCTTGTGGGCGGTAGTGGAGAGGGTTACAGGGGCACATCATGGGGCTCAGGGACTGAACCCCACCATTCCTTCCCCCCGTCCCATCCCAATTCCTAATCCTGACCTCTTCCCAGTGCTATATAGTCCTAATGGCTTAACGCTTTCTCCTGATAATTCCCTTCACCTAAATACCAATCAAATCTATTTTTGAAACTCGTTGAACTGTCTTAGTAAATCTAGCAAGCAGCCTCCAGCATATATAAGCAATATTGCAGGTACTGAAGCACAAGTATTCGAGGACAAATGTTGAACCTTCGCTGCAAAAAAAAAAAGGCCAATTGGGTTGGCAGTAGATATGTGGGCCTTCTGGTTGCTTCATCCAACAGCCTGTTGGACCCAAATGATCACCAGTCAAGCCTGGCTTGGGGGGAGTAGAACACCCTCCCGAGCCCCATTCCATCCTTACTCAACCACCATCCAATTTCCAGATCAATATTTCTCTATATTCCTCCTGAGACTTAACTCCAACAGCGTATTAGAAGCTCTCATAGAGTCAGACTTTCATCAGATGTTCCAAAATAATATTACCTCCAGTAATATAATTATAACAAGTTACCTTGTCTTGCACTTATAATTGATTTTAACGTAATTTCACATATTTGTTTTTGCTGCTCTCTTAACTACAAAAATATCGTATATTTTCTGCCGATTACTTACACTGAAAAATGTTAACGCGAGGGGATCCGCGCCACTGGCCACAGACCCGCGCCACTGGCCACGGACCCGCGCCACTGGCCACGGACCCGCGCCACTGGCCACGGACCCGCGCCACTGGCCACGGACCCGTGCCACTGGCCACAGACCCGTGCCACTGGACACGGACCCGCGCCACTGGCCACGGACCCGCGCCACTGGCCACGGACCCGCGCCACTGGCCACGGACCCGCGCCACTGGTCACGGACCCGCGCCACTGGCCACGGACCCGCGCCACTGGCCACGGACCCGCGCCACTGGCCACGGACCCGCGCCACTGGCCACGGACCCGCGCCACTGGCCACGGACCCGCGCCACTGGCCACGGACCCGCGCCACTGGCCACGGACCCGCGCCACTGGCCACGGACCCGCGCCACTGGCCACAGACCCGCGCCACTGGCCACAGACCCGCGCCACTGGCCACAGACCCGCGCCACTGGCCACAGACCCGCGCCACTGGCCACAGACCCGTGCCACTGGCCACAGACCCGTTCCACTGGCCACAGACCCGTTCCACTGGACACAGACCCGTGTCACTGGCCACAGACCCGTGCCACTGGCCACAGACTCGTGCCACTGGCCACGGACCCGTGCCACTGGCCACAGACCCACGCCACAGACCCGCGCCACTGGCCACGGACCCGCGCCACTGGCCACGGACCCACGCCACTGGCCACAGACCCGCGCCACTGGCCACAGACCCGCGCCACTGGCCACAGACCCGCGCCACTGGCCACAGACCCGCGCCACTGGCCACAGACCCGCGCCACTGGCCACAGACCCGCGCCACTGGCCACAGACCCGCGCCACTGGCCACAGACCCGCGCCACTGGCCACAGACCCGCGCCACTGGCCACAGACCCGCGCCACTGGCCACAGACCCGCGCCACTGGCCACAGACCCGCGCCACTGGCCACAGACCCGCGCCACTGGCCACAGACCCGCGCCACTGGCCACAGACCCGTGCCACTAGCCACAGACCCGCGCCACTGGCCACTGTTTACAATGAAAGTGTGGTACTTACCGTATAGTCGTCTACAGGAATGGAGCGTCAAGTACCCAATCAACAGGTGTGTGCTGGAGGCACCTCGTGACACCTGTGTCACTGTGAGGGCCTGTAACTGGCCCTGTGCCAAACAGTGGCTTGAGGTGTCAATTGCCAGTCAGTACTATGGAAGTCTAACAACCCATTGGTTGACAGACTTCAATTGGAGATGTTTAATGCACTTTCAAAATACAGTCTATGTAAGAATTATCCATGAGTGTGTGATGGTGGCATGTGGCAGGCAGGGGTGAGGGGGGTCGGCGTGCCCGGGCGGTGTGAGAGGACACGGTCGGCGTCCCTACACCACGGGTGCTGCCTAGGTACTGAGGCGGGCCAGGAGGGCGGCGGTCATCACCACCTTGAGTGCCGCCCGCGCCGCCCACATCCCCGCAGGAGTCACCACTGACCCGCCCTCACACACACTCCCCGGACCCCACACACACTATACACTGCAAGAGATTCAGAAGCTATTTTGGTAACTGATTTAGACAGATAATTACAAGTGTGACTGGAGCGGACCGCGACTGTGAGTGCGGGCGCCCTGGGGGTCGACCCCGGGCCCCGCGCGCAAGCTCAGGATGACTACGGCAGCCACAGTTGTAAACTCATCGAGTTTTCACGAGTACAAATTGCACATCCATTCTCACCCACAAACCTGTCCTCGCATATAACATCTTATTTTGATGTCATGCGGACAAAATACGACGTACTATGAATCATAGCGGCTCACACACGCGTAGTCTATGCGTGGCAGAGTTAGGTTCGTATGTTTCAGTACACCGTTTTATGTCCATTGTGGCAACTCAAGAGGAAATTGAAATAAGTTTATTGAGGTAAAATACACACAAAGGGATGAGGTAGCTCAAGCTATTCTCACCCCGTTCAGTACATCGTGTTAATACATACATAGACACACATCACAAACAATAAACATATTACCAAACATTCTGAACTCAAGAGGAAGGTGTTGACCTACCTGGCTGGAGGTCGCAGACCGTGGCGAAGGGCAACTTTGGTGTTGAATGGGACGTGTTGACCCTTGACCTGCCTACAGGAGTCATGCTCCATAACTTGCTTCCTTGCAGTATTCATTACGTTATTCAATATGCAACCCATTAACCGCTATCTGAACATTAACGCTTGGGCACGTTTCCTTTCACCTGATGAGCCTATTCAACTAGCAGTAAAATAGGCACCCGGAAGTTAGGCAACTGTTGTGGGGGTTCCATCCTGGGGGGGGGGGGGTTAGTTGTTGACCTGGGGGGGTGAGGGGGGGGCTACTATACTGTATATGTACTGTAGATACAGCCCATTCTCCGTCCCGAGGCAATAGTACAAATACTATTATAGTACAAATTATCGTTGACGTTAGTAAGTCAGTAACTGACTTGTACATCAGACAACCAGCTGACACAATGAATCTTCTTTTTTATACGGTATAACTACAAACGGATTTTATTCATATATAAATTAATGTTATTATATTTTGTGATGTTATGTATAATTAGCCGTAGGTAAGGTTGGGTAAGCTATCGTGGGGACGCTGATTCTGAGAGTGTTTACAATCCAGGTTGGAAGTGAATGAAGAACGTCTCGATTCAGAGATTGGAACAGTAAGATTATATCATCCCGTCCTCAGGCGCAGTGTGGACGTGCCTGGCCTGAGGACAGGTAAGATAGTGTGTCGTGTAGCTCAGTGGATTAAGGCAGCGTCTGGGATGCTCTCGGACGTAGGTTCGAATCCTCGTCACGGCCCTTGTGAATTTCTTCATAGTGTGAGTGTGTTCATGGGAAGAACAGCCCGCCGTCCCTGAAAGGTGGGCTGTACGAAGCAACTACAAACGAGTTGAAACGTAGAATGTCATCCCTAGTCAGCCACTGCCACTTGCAGAGGAACTAAGCTTAGCAAAGTTCCCAGAGTAAGTCGGCCATTGAGACTTTGGGGGTGATGGTACCTCACTCAGCTTATAATGGGTCAGCAAGTGCAAGTCACACACACACAGCACCGCTCCTGTGCCAGGTAAGTCCACTACGGGCTCACCATAGTCTGTGCTACTTGCCCCGCTCCTGTGCCAGGTAAGTCCACTACGGGCTCACCATAGTCCGTGCTACTTGGAACGTTTTGTTCCCAGTAGCTGTAAAGTATAGCGAATCATATTCCATACTTCCCCAATCCCACCCATAAATTCTAAATTACTGGAGTTTCAGTGGATACACCATGAAGCTCCTCGCACCATGAAGCATCCAGCCCCCATTAACATTAGCTGTTGACGGTAATTGCATCGAGAGGAGATAATTAAGTCAGTCACGCCAAATTATCATTAAGAACCTGTACGTGCGTGCGTGCGTGTGTGTGTGGTGTGTGTGTGTGTGTGTGTGTGTGTGTGTGTGTGTGTGTGTGTGTGTGTGTGTGTGTGTGTGTGTGTGTGTTGTGTGTGTGTGTGGTGTGTGTGTGTGTGTGTGTGTGTGTGTGTGTGTGTGTGTGTGTGGTGTGTGGTGTGTGGTGTGTGGTGTGTGTGTGTGTGTGTGTGTGTGTGTGTGTGTGTGTGTGTGTGTGTGTGTGTGTGTGTGTGTGGTGTGTGTGTGTGTGTGTGTGTGTGTGTGTGTGTGTGTGTGTGTGTGTGTGTGTGTGTGTGTGTGTGTGTGTGTGTGTGTGTGTGTGTGTGTGTGTGTGTGTGTGTGTGTGTGTGTGTGTGTGTGTGTGTGTGTGTGTGTGTGTGTGTGTGTGTGTGTGTGTGTGTGTGTGTGTGTGTGTGTGTGTGTGTGTGTGTGTGGTGTGTGTGTGTGTGTGTGTGTGTGTGTGTGTGTGTGTGTGTGTGTGTGTGTGTGTGTGTGTGTGTGTGTGTGTGTGTGTGTGTGTGTGTGTGTGTGTGTGTGTGTGTGTGTGTGTGTGTGTGTGTGTGTGTGTGTGTGTGTGTGTGTGTGTGTGGTGTGTGTGTGGTGTGTGTGTGTGTGTGTGTGTGTGGTGTGTGTGTGTGTTATGTGTGTGTGTGTGTGTGGTGTGTGTGTGTGTGGTGTGTGTGTGTGTGTGTGTGTGTGTGTGTGTGTGTGTGTGTGTGTGTGTGTGTGTGTGTGTGTGTGTGTGTGTGTGTGTGTGTGTGTGTGTGTGTGTGTGTGTGTGTGTGTGTGTGTGTGTGTGTGTGTGTGTGTGTGTGTGTGTGTGTGTGTGTGTGTGTGTGTGTGTGTGTGTGTGTGTGTGTGTGTGTGTGTGTGTGTGTGTCTTCTACTGAATAAACACATTCAAAAGTTTGTTATTTATGAAGGATTTTATATATAACTACACATGGTCTGATGACCAAGTCACACATCAGAAAATGAAGAAGCGACGACATTTCGGTCCGTCCTGGACCATTACACGACTTGATAATGGTCCAGGACGGACCGAAACGTCGTCTCTTCGTCTTCCAGTGTGTGGTTCGGTCAGCATTTCCTCAGCCACGTTATTGTGACTCGTCATCTGCAACTATATGGGCTATCCGGTGGTGCCCGGGTCATCTATCCAAGTCTCTCCATCCATCCCTCCCATCCATCTCTGCCTCTTTCTCCCTCCCATTCTAAACAGACTCCCACCCAGCAAACAGACTGTCTTGACCCAAGTCATTGGTGGTGAGTAAGACTCAGTGTTCCTAGTTATAGTAATTTCAAAGTATTGTTTGTGTGTACACAAACATCCGGGAGTCGATGTGGGAGCCGGTCGGCCGAGCGGACAGCACGCTGGACTTGTGATCCTGAGGTCCTGGGTTCGATCCCAGGCGCCGGCGTGAAACAATGGGCAGAGTTTCTTTCACCCTATGCCCCTGTTACCTAGCAGTAAAATAGGTACCTGGGGTGTTAGTCAGGTGTCACGGGCTGCTTCCTGGGGGTGGAGGCCTGGTCGAGGACCGGGCCGCGGGGACACTAAAAAGCCCCGAAATCATCTCAAGATAACCTCAAGATATACACATTCTGGTTACTGTAGTTAGTTTTCTTCCCATTTTAATTTGAAGTATATTGATTAATTCTAGTTTGAGGTTTCCCTAACCCCCTTTACTCCTGTGATTTAGTGATAGTTGGGTCACTTACAGTACTTAAAATTTTAATTTTGCCCCGAGGGACGAGTTTATTGGTCTTAAGTGTTGGGGGCAGACGCAGCATTAACGAGCCTTAAGTTATAACACTTGCTAATTTGCCTGCTACGTCTGTATCATCATGATGTGCTGTGTTTGCTTGAGAAGGTAGCCATACAAGAGAGATTCTAAACCCTTTATTCTGCGCAGCGAGCAGGTTATTTATAACTGGTATTACGAGGTTCTTACTGTCGATAGTGCATTAGCCTTTAAGTGCTTGAAGAGCACATTTTGAATCACAGAAAATTACTCCTGTGATGTTTAGTATATTGGTTAGTAGTTTTAGTGCAGCTAGTTCTCTTAAGTGTTGAGTTCATCCACTTGAACTTGACACTGATAAAAGGCTTTCTTTGTTCACTCCACGTTCACCACACTCCTCCCACAACCCAAGACGCAATGCTGCTTATTTTAACATCTGTCACTTCCCCCCCCCCCCTTACACCCACACTGTTGCTGCACACGACCCCCAGCCGGCCCCCAGCAGGGGGAACACTGCCCCCTGTGTGCACCCCACCACTAGTATTTACGAGTCAGCCTATTAATTGGCCTGTACTCGGTCGCATTTTGTGTGAGCGAGCAAGGTTTATCTCCCTCATCCTTGGTTCACATTTGTTTGTCAGCCAAATGTGTTCTTATGCCAAGCCGGCGATGGAGACGATGTTATACCATTCAGTAACCAGCCTCAAAATGAATTGGTAACGCTCCTTGTGTAAAGATGTTCGAATTTGTAAAGGCGGAGACAAATGGGCAAAATGTTTCTTTCACTCTGATGCCCCTGTTACCTAGCAGTAAATAGATAGCTGGGAGTTAGACAGCTGCTACGGGCTGCTTCCTGGGAGTGGAGGCCTGGTCGAGGACCGGGCCGCGGGGACGCTAAGCCCCGAAATCATCTCAAGATAACTGGACCCCTCAGCTTCCCTCCATCTCCCACCGCCCACTTTTCTCTCCCTCATATTCCCTTCATTCCTCAACCCCCCCCCCCCCCTTCCCCCTCACCCACTCTCCCCTTCCCTCCATCTACTAGCCACCCCTTCCCTCTCTAACTCTTCTCACCCCCACTCCCCTCCCCTCCCTCACCTCTTTGCCTAAGTTAAAAGCTCGCTTCCCTCATCACTGCTCTCCATCTTCATATGCAAATCAGACACCATTGTTGGTCTCCCCCAGCGCGTATCATGGCCGCTTCCCACGATGCTCGCCGCATACTACCATAAAGGCCGCGCAAGACCCGTCTGTCGCAGCCGTTAAAGATAATATGTGGAGAAACATTACAGCCGGAGCTACAAGATACGAGTCGTAAGGCAAGACACAGCTCCGCCAACATTACTTAACCCTGAGCATAAGTTTTCTTTTGGGGGGAGATACAAAAAAAAACTATATATATAAACCCAGAGATAAGAACAATGGGGAAAATAAACAAATAGATG